CCAGGCTTGTTGGAGAGAGTCCAGGTCTAGGGCTTCCACCAGGCTTGTTGGAGAGAGTCCAGGTCTAGGGCCTCCACCAGGCTTGTTGGAGAGAGTCCAGGTCTAGGGCTTCCACCAGGCTTGTGTTGGAGAGAGTCCAGGTCTAGGGCCTCCACCAGGCTTGTGATGGAGAGAGTCTAGGTCTAGGACCTTCATCACACTTGTGTTGGAGGAGAGTCCAGGTCAAGGGCCTCCATCACGCTTATGTTGGAGAGAAGAGTCCAGGGCTGCACCAGGTTTGTGTTGGAGGAGAGTCCAGGTCTAGGACCTCCATTAGCTTGTGTTGGAGGAGAGTCCAGGTCTAAGGCCTCCACCAGGCTTGTATTGAAGGAGAGTTCAGGTCGAGGGCCTCCATCATGCTTGTGTTGGAGGAGAGTCCAGGTCTAAGGCCTCCATCAGGCTTGTGTTGAAGGAGAGTCCAAGTCGAGGGCCTCCGTCATGCTTGTGTTGGAGGAGAGTCCAGGTCTAGGGCAGCCATCATGCTTGTGTTGGAGGAGAGTCCAGGTCCGGGTCCTCCACCAGGCTTGTGTTGGAGGAGAGTCTAGGTCTAGGGCGTCCACAAGGCTTGTGCTGGAGGAGAGTCTAGGTCTAGGGCGTCCACCAGGCTTGTGTTGGAGGAGAGTCTAGGTCCAGGGCCTCCGCCAGGCTTGTGATGGAGGAGAGTCTACGTCTAGGGCCTCCACCAGGCTTGTGATGGAGGAGAGTCTAGGTCTAGGGCCTCCGCCAGGCTTGTGTTGAAGGAGAGTCTAGGTCCAGGGCCTCCACCAGGCTTGTGTTGGAGGAGAATCTAGGTCTAGGGCGTCCACCAGGCTTGTGTTGGAGGAGAGTCTAGGTCTAGGGCCTCCACCAAGCTTGTGTTGGAGGAGAGTCTAGGTCTAGGGCCTCTACCAGGCTTGTGCTGGAGGAGAGTCTCGGTCTAGGGCCTCCACCAGGCTTGTGTTGGAGGAGAGTTTAGGTCTAGGGCCTCCACCAGGCCCACGGTACTTACCTGGGTCTTAGATGCTAAATAAACAAACTTTTCTCATTCTCTGGAGAAAGGTTTACTGACAAGAGTTTTCCTGGAAAGTTGTGGCAGTGTGTGTGAGAAACTCAGGCTGTATAATGCTCTCTTTTATCAATTACCGACTAACACAAACATGATGGTCTTCATCACTGAGTTTAACTTCATACATATTCTTTCTTCTTTCATTTTTTTCTTTTCGGTTGAGTAAGTTCTGTGAATACCACACCAAACTTACTTGACCATTTTCTTTACCCATGTGAGCATGACTCTTGCTCAGGCTCTAGACTAGTGCTTCCCAGCCTTTTTTGTTTCATGTCCCACCTCAACACCTCAAAAAAAATTATGTGCTTCCCTAGTATAAAAGCAAATTTGGGTGTTGAATCAGACACTGTTCCATCTAAAACTCTATTTGTACCCTTATTCCCGGACATTTCATCAGAGAGAAGCTGTAAAATACTGTCTTTAAGGTCACTCATGAGTAACGCGCGCGTGGAGTCTCCACACATTACACAAATAACCTGCGCATAGGAGCTTACGACGACGTTTCGGTCCGATTTGGACCATTTACAGGGTCACACTGTGAGACTATATAAATGGTCCAAGTGGGACCGAAACGTTGTCATAAGCTTCTTTCATCCCCAAAACATTCAGAATATCCCAAAATATTCCAGTTACCCCCAAAACATTCAGATTACCCCTAACATTCCAGCTGCCTCCCCTTCCAATCAAATTATTCCCAAAACATTCAAATTACTCCTAAAACATTCAATTTACCCCAAAACATACATCACTTCACTCACCACCTTGGGACCCCCAGTCTGAATTGTTCCTGCGATGTAATTCTTTGCTTCCATTCTGTCCACTCCTTCCATTCCCTCAAATCTCCACCGGTTTTTGACCCCTAAAACATTCAAATTATCCCCAAAACATTCTTATTACCTCCAAAAACATTCAACTTGCCTCCCTGTGGGGCGTAACCCTCCCCCCCCCCTCACTGGGTATCACTGTTCTAAACTCGAGAAACTTGTCAGTTACAGCCTAAGTATACCAGCCTCTACATTAACTTACTAGGAAGCAACATATGCAACATCTAGTTATTTTCACTGAAGAGACTGTTGTACTACATGTTTAGCGTTTGCTTATGATTTTAATAATAATAATAATAATAATAATAATAATTGTCCTGCACATCAACATAACATCTGGTCCACTATATGAGCATGACTTAACAATCACCAGGACTCAGATCTTCCTCTATCATGCCTGTGATGTACCCATGACGGGTTTGGAGATTTTTCCTACTCTCGCAGCCCGGCCCTGGACCAGGTTAGTCTGGTGCTTGTTTGGTCAGCTAGGCTGTTGTTGTTCGTGGCCCGTTGGCCCCCACATCCGTCACAGCCTGGTTGATTCGGCACTTGGTGGAGAAAACTAGTAATATGTTAAAAAGTCTGGGACCACGTATGTTGATATAATATCGTATTATGCCCACGGTATCCCTGCCTTTCACTGAATCGCTGACATCAGCGCAGTAAGTGTTCAGACAGGTAATAGCATTGTTGTGACGGCTGATTGTAAAATACACTTGCGCTGTCGTAAACGGTACATAAAGCAACATCACATCGAGAATCAACAAAAGAAAAACGGTTCCTCTAAACTCTGAGCGAAGAAAAGGGCAGATGTATCTGCTGGACCTATCAATAGGTCTTGTTGCCTCTTCTGTGTAATTCAATTTGTCTTTGGAGGTTCAGACTACATTATTGTTATTATAATCAAAAAATGAGGTTCGACAGGTACGTTAAGACGGCCTCCTGTGCCAAGACCAATCTTGAATGTTGTTAGTCATTTTGATGATTGGTCAGTTACTGTGAAACGACGTGTTGAATACTATGGTGGTGATCTTCATGCTGCTAACTGCGTATCTCACAATGAAGAAGATTAAGACACATGTAGAACACTTAGGTATCTTTATTGATGAAACGTTTCGCCTACACAGTAGGCTTCTTCAGTGAAATACAAAGGGACCAGTAGAAATGAAATAAAGATGATGTAATCAGTCCATCAACCATGGAGAAAAATTACTTGAGGTGGTCAGACTGACCACCTCAAATACTTTTTCTCCAAGATCCAATGTCCATTTCCGTAATGGGTATGATTCACTACTGCAATTTCAGGAAGGAATAAATGCAAAACTCAGAACATCTGGATGGCCTGAAGAGGACTGATCAAGAGCAGTTATTATTCAGGAAGTGTGTGTATCTAGAGATGAATTATGAAGAACAGTTGACGATCTCATACCTTCAGGGCAAAATGAAAGATGTTCGGACTGTAATGGCTCGGTTCCTTATGGTCATTACTATGTAAAAAAACAAACTAAAGAAACAATACGGAGATTGTCATATCGCAGAGAGGAATAGCTTGAACAACAGTGGCAGTTAGAGAGAAATCATTAAATATACTTCGTCCTTACTATTAAAATGCGCAACGATAATCTGATGAAGAAGCGTAAAAAAAAAAAGAAAAAAAAAACATAATTGAGACAGCAGCAAGGCTGGTCAGGAGCGATTTCAAATTAAATGTACTTTACATTACTGATAACTACCCACATGCTGAGAATCTTAAAACTTACTCTGCACTGGGCCTCCTTCCAGAGACACTACGAAATGTGTTGAAGTATCTGTGGATAAAAATACGCATCATAAAGTAGCCAGTATTGGGCAGTCCATAGTACAAGCAGTAAGACCGCGGACTGTCATCGCACTATTACAAATAAGCCTACGTCTACAGCTGCATCACATGTATCAGTGCAAATTCTGGTGGACACTCTTCATGAGAGGGGGCGCGGCTCTTCGTACGGTGATGTGCTTCGCTTTGACAAGAATGCTGCAAGCTATGTCACACCAGATTTATTAGTTGAAAACAAATATACTAGACTTGCCATTATTTTCTGGTGAATGTAGATCTCAATATTCGTACCGTCGAGGGTTAATACACATTGTACGTGATGGATATGTTAGCTGTGTTGACCCCAGGGAGGTAGACGATGCATCTTGTCGATAGACAAAACATTTCTGAACTGAACATTGTAGAGATGTCCAAATTTGATACCAGCGAGTATCGTTTCGCCCTCCATGTACTTTGAAACATCAAGTTTCAAAAACTTCCCAGTCTCTTAAACTGTGAAATGAGGACTGATATCTTATGGGAACCTTCATTCCATTGCAAACAGCCAGTTCCAAATTGGCAGAGGATGATGACTATCATTCATTAGAGGCATACACATCCCGGTCAGTCCACCATTTTGCATTTGCCCACGATCAATATGTGTCCCTGGGACAAAACTTACACTCTGTCCACGTTAGAGCTCCTCACCAGCCTGGCCATCAGACACCATGTCCCTCCAGTTTTAACATTTGATCAACCCCTCAGTGTTACACCGCGGAGTAGCCATTTGAAGATCATTCTAGTGCTTGATAGATTTCAAGCATTCATAAATCTGTTTGGAGCATTAGGTACACAGATGGAGGGCACAGGACTTACAAGCGTTTTAGAAGTGGTTTACGGTGAGAATGCTGTGGTGCCTAGGATGGCCGGTAAATCAGTTCAAAAGACATTCCGAAGCCATCTTCTGAAGAAGTGTGTGTTCATCAAATGAGTATGAAATCTGTGGTAAATGAAAATACTGAATTTGTTTCACTAGTAGAGGAAACTAAGGAAAAAGTATTCGTCCTAATTGAAGGGTCACACCACTCTTCAAAGTCTTACAACGGCCAATAGTCGCTAGAATCAGTACTTAATCCATAACTAGTCATTTGTGAGTAGGATACTGTACGAACCCTGATCAAAGAAGATCGCAACTGGTCTTGGCTGAGTTCCTTGCATGCTGTTTCCAACGCCTTATCAATATTTGCTCCAGCAAGACATTACAACTACTGGAAGTTTGAGCATCTCTACATCTAAGCAATAAGTGAGTTTGAGAGCAAACAACCAGATGTTTACAGGAAGTTTCAGGAAGATTTTCATGCCATTCATATATCAAATTAGTTTTGCGCAAGCCTCTGTTGCGATCTAGTCATCAAGCAAACGCTTTTCTAGTCACTAAAACTACAAACAGCTTGACTCTTGGAAGTAATAATAGCGAGCATTGTGGACAATGTTATCCCCCGTAATGTCCGAGTTCAACACTGCCATGGAGAACTCACTGATCTCACGTACATCACAAAGATTCATCTGAATTGAAAGAGATACATTAAACATTCCGAAGATAAACAAAGCTGATTTCATATCTACTTTTCTCCTCTGACCCTTCATTGAGAAATATCATCAATGGTATGGTGGCGAGAGACGTCAATATGCATGAATACTAATCCGTTGGAAGAAACGTCAACAGAATGATTGGACAGTCTATATTTTCCTTCTGTTTTTAGAGAACAAAGCCAAGACTCAGGGAAATTTATCTGCTGTCAAAGTTACTCATAACAGATCATTGACTTGGCCTACTGTTCCAGTTATTTCTTGTAGTATATAAAGCAGATCTGTGTCTAGAGGTGATGAAATATGAGCTGAGTCCATATCTGTCACCTACTTGTTTTGAGTCATCGATGACCATTTTAACAAGATGCCATGCGAAGCAACATCAGATGTTATCACGAAAACTGAAAAATGTGTGCTTGACGGAGGCTCCTTACTGCTAAAGATGAAGTGGAAGGGAGATACGTACGGTAAAATAGCCAAAGCATATACTGACTTTACCAGTTAGCACTTTGGGGCAGCAACTGCTGTGTTTGACTGGGATGAAGCAAGTCCCTCGTTAAAGGATAACTCACACCAGAGACGGGGATAAACCACTAATTATTCGGTTGTGAACTTTACCAGTGAAACTGAATTTGAAGAGAAACAGGATGAATTCATTTCAAGGGGAAGTAACAAGAAATAACTAATCAGCTTAATAAGTGATGAACTGAGGAGGGTGGGCTATAGGGTCATTCAAGTTGAAGGGGACGCTGGTGTGGACATCACTGCGACCATAGTTAACACTGCGTGTACACATTCCACCACGCTGTTTGAAGAGAACGCTGACTTGTTAATTCTTCTACATTACTCCACAGCACATGGCAAGCCACTGTATTGTAAATTACACAGTCAAGAGACATTTCAAGAGTACATCAGCTGAATACAAGGCGTTCTTGATAGTGAGTTGTGTTCACAACTGTTATTTATTTATACCTTCACAGGATGCAATTCAGTCCCATATATATGGTGTTGGAAAAAATTCAGTCTTCCAATATCTCGTGGAAGGTGATCCCGTCCTCCAATCGTGCACAAATGCATTCACTTTACCAGACAAGAATGACTCTGACATAGAACAATCTGGGCAGGTAAGCGATAGCTGTTGTGTTTGGTGAGAAGAGCACAGGTTCTCTGTCAGTCTTGTGTTATAACATAGTGACTAGGAAAGTCGTCTCAGCTAAATCATTTGTTATGCTCGAACGTCTTCCCAACTAAGTCTTCCGCAACATTCCATTGTCTCGAGGTGTATTTTCCGACCATGACATGGCTGCAGATGGAGAGTGATGTTGATTCTTCGCGCTGGAACTGAAGACTGGAAGACAACCAAATTGAATCCATGATGTTTTATATGTATACTGCACCTGACACTCTATGATTCATTGCATTTGCGAAAGTGGCTGCAATACTGCTAGCCCTGTCCCCCTGTGCATGTACTTATGTATGTGGATCATGCCGACATGCGTCTTGTTAGAGTCTTAACAAGCAATTTTCAGTGAAACTAGAAGACACTTTTGAGCATTGAACCGAGACCTTGAAAGTGACACTTAACTTTTTTTTTTTACTGTTACATTTTTGTATGTTTTTAAAAAATTATTATGATTTTTATTTAGTAATATTTTGCCCTGTATCCTTCAGTACATTCTCTCAAATACATCATTCTGAAACAAGAGTTTTTGTTTTCTTTGTCCCTAAAACCGCTTTTCATGTGAAATAATTTTGGAGTTGAAAAATGATATGGCGATACCGACAAGATGTGGAATAAGACATTTATGTACAGTTCAGGACATTTATTAAAGGTAACGTTTCGCCACATATTAGAACTGAAGAAGCCACTCATGGCGAAACGTTTCCTCTAATAAATATCTTTTTCCAGAATTTTGGAATTATTGATGCTGGTTCCTTCATTCATGACTATTGGCCACAATCCTTGACTTAAGAGTCTGAGTAATCGTAAAGAAATTCTAGTGGCACTAATGACTTTCTTGACGCCTTAAAACACTCGGTTAGATACGAAAATGTAACCGAGGGTCATCTTGGAGCTAAGCCAATTCTAACCCCCTTCCGGTGGTCATATTTTGCAAGACTTCTATTTCGGTCGTTCATACACCCAGCACCCACAAAACAAATCTTTTGCTAGAATTCTGGGGAGATTCTGTGATAATTTTGAAACGGGCAGAAACATTAATGCTGTAAATTGTATCATATACTTGTAGAAATAAATATTATCATTATTTATTATTATTATTATTATTATTATTAATTACTTAATTAATTAATTACTATTGCAGGGACAGCACTGACAGGAGTCAGGCGCGGTGTGTGCGCGCTCAGCGTCGCCTACACCCGCCCTGTGCTCAGTTGTCCGAGTCTGTGTCTGACAGTCAGTGTCACAACCTGGGTCGTGACTGCCGTTCTGACCGTGTCTGCAGGTAATACTTAACTGCCACTTACTAGACACGCGGCAACTTCTAGTTTAGTAAAATATTCTACTAATAATTCCTCTGCTCTTGTATTGTGCAGTTTTACACAGAAAACTAAACCCTGGCATATCACTAAGTAGTAATATAACGACAGTTGGTGTAGTACTGTGCAGTAAGTACAACCAATAACAACACGACATATCACTAGCTGTACAAAGACGTAAGTATTTTTTTTTCATTTAACGAAATTATATACATTAACGATGTGCTGCTACTCTATTCTATAATTATAACAGGCTGACTTCCTTTTTTCTGGGATTAAAAACTGAAAATTTTTCAGGGCAAAATTACATTTCTTTTCAGGGTAGACTGTTACATAAAGCAGTGGTTATTTGTGTTACAAAATAGGTTAATCGCTTACTACTTTGTTTTCAACTGTGGCTGTTATACTTGTAGACAGTAAGCCTTCATGGCTAGTTTCCAAAGTTTCCACCAAAGAGCAGGTCTCTAGGTAAACATACCCAGACCTGCCTCGCTCCCACTTTCCGCCAAGTCAACCTAGAGTCAACAACACTCCACTCCTCTCTCTCCCCCTCGGGCACTGCCCTCTGGGCCGCCCAAGACATTTAAACACACTGCCTGTGTACCACTAACCCAAATAAAGTAAGGAGTCTTCAAAGCCTTATCATTGATCCCCGCTACCAAACACACACGTAATCTTTCGACGATATTGGTGATAGCAGTGGGACCAGCAGTTGTGTTGCCAGGAGAGAGGAACCAAGCATGAAGATGTTGTCTCCACTTCATCGCCCCACACGACTTCAGGACAACTCACAGAGTTGCAAGTTTCATCACCCAGACACAGGATAAGCAGGATCCAGGCCGAAATTTGCTGAATTTTCCTCGAGAAATCTTCGCAGCATCACCCTGTGTCTTGTCGGTGTCCCACGCTGTTCTTCAGTTACGTGTTCAGCATCACCTGCGTGTTTCTGCTGTTGTTGTTCAGCTCAGTACGGCTATTTCAGCAAGTGAGAGGTGGGTTTGTGTGGTGCTCTGCATCTAGTGTGGTTGATTCTCCAAGTGGGTATACACAAATAACCCGCACATAGAAGAGAGGAGCTTTCGACGACGTTTCGGTCCGACTTGGACCATTTACAAAGTGGGTATGTGGGGGTGCAGAGGCTGTGGCCGGATCCTCCCTCACTACAAACCATCCACGCTGATCTCACACCATAGACTACTGCGCTATCACTCCCTCTGCTGTTTTTATGAATTCAGGGTGAATTCTTTGCCATAGCTGAGTATCCGAGTGCTTGAGGTCACTCTAAGCCACGTGGATCAAGAAGCCACGTGTGGTTGAGGCCACGTGGAGCGAGCCATGTGAGTTAATAATCCACATATCGAAAGCCACATGCTGTTGTCTGCTGCCTGGCATCACCCATGACATCATGCTGCCCACATCACTCCCCTGATGTCACAATGCTGCCCGTCACTCCAGGACGTCACTTCATGACGTCTGCCTGACGTCATCCTGGACATTGCCTGACATCACCTCGTGATGTCACCCACGATGCTGCCCGACGTCACCTCGCAATGTCACCTAGGACGTCTGCCCGACTTCATCTTGCAGTGTCACCCTGGATGTCTGCCTGGCGTCACCTCGTGATGTCACCCCACAACATCATGCCTGACATCACTACATGATGTTACATGGACAGTGTTATAGTTTCATAGTGAGCAATTTGTTGCAGTATTGTCAAGAATGATTGAGAGAAGATATATGTCACGTGTTAATTACTCTCAGTGTTCCTTACCAGTGTTCTCACATGTTCATAAATGCCTTAATGTCGCTTTTTGCACAGAAAAGTATCTTTTGCTAGTGCAAGCCATGTTGTAACCGCATGTGCAATGCGGGTGAGTGCAGTTTTCCATGTGTCCTGATGTGTGGTCTGAGCCCAGACCATTGGTAACACCCTCGTGTTACATGTCACCCGTTGTGACTGTTGGCAACTGATATTAGTCAGTCCAGGCGTCAGTTTGCGAGCATCTAAGCACCATGTACAGAAAGCTCTTATGCTCACCATTCATAGATGCCATGTCCGAGTCGTACCTATTACAACTCCCCATTGAGACTCGTTTCACTCCACCTCCTTACCATCAGAGTGCAGTTATGTGTAGAAAGCTAGTCTGAGGACGCTTAGACTAACCTATGCTATGACTCCAACTCTGTCAAGAGGATGACATCGTCAAGCCGCAGTAGCCCTGTCGGCAGGCGACTGTCTTGACTCGTGTTACAGCTTCAGTGAGCAGCTTGCACAAAGTATGATGTCACTTTAACTGCTAGCCCGCTCACTCCAGTTATGGTGTATGCTGCTACGACTACCAGATATTTCGCCTGAGTCGTCCCTGCCACGACTCCACACTTGCCGGCAGTGACAGCCCCAGTGACAGTACCAATCGAGAAATATCAGCTTGAGTTGCTTGCCAGAAGAAGTCCTGCCCATTTGCCAAGTACTGACGACACCTTACTCGCGGGCACCAGCAGGTTGTGCCCCAGGTTGAGTAAACCCTGGAGCAACTACTCCACAATGACTGCTTTACCATTCCAGAGGAGACCATACCCTGTTACGTCACAATGCAGCTGCAGCAATGTCTCCTGTGTTGCAGTATCTGTCCAGATGCAGGAAGGCGTGCAGTGATGCCCGCCGAGGCTCACTGCCTTGGACCACGATATTTAGCACACCCCACCTTTTTTTTCTTCCCTCCCTGTAGGAAGTTTTTTTTTGTCCATGTCCACACACACACACACACACACACACATACACACACACACACACACACACACACACACACACACACACACACACACACACACACACACACACACACACACACACACACACACACACACATATATATATATATTATTATTATTTTTTTTTTTTTTTTTTTTTTTTTTTTTTTTTTTTTATCATCACACTGGCCGATTCCCACCAAGGCAGGGTGGCCCGAAAAAGAAAAACTTTCACCATCATTCACTCCATCACTGTCTTGCCAGAAGGGTGCTTTACACTACAGTTTTTAAACTGCAAGAGAGAGACCGAATTTTTTTTTCAGTCAAGCATGGTCGAGGATGACCATGGGTAGGTGGCCAAGCAAAATGTAGACAGTAAGCCTACATGGCTAGTTTCCAAAGTTTCCACCAGAGAGCAGGTCTCTAGGTAAGCATACCCAAACCTTCCTCGCTCTCACTTGCCGCCAACTTAACCTAGAGTCAACAACACTCCACTCCTCTCTCCCTCGCGGGCATGGGCCGCTAGGTCGCCCAGGGCACTTAAACACACTGCTTGTGTACCACGAACCCAAATAAAGTAAGGAGCCTCCGAAGCCTTATTCATCATCGCCATGCACAGGATACAATTCATCGACGCTACACTGCCACAGTTGAAAGTGAATATTATTATAAATATTAGTACATAATACACTGATATTTATTTAATATTTCACGTATTAGGTATTTCCGTTACAGGGAAAACAAGGCCAATTTTTTCTGCTCCCCTCAACCCGTCATGCTTCTATGGTCTAGCATCTAGTAATCACAGATTCAGGATGAAGCACTAAAACTACTCTATCTAGATTCTAGTAAACTAAGGTCATGATCAAATCCAACGATCACAATAATCATTATCGCCAGCCACTATCCACTACAACCACTAATCACCAGAACCACACAGGTACAGACTGGAGCACTACGAACTGTCGTGTGCGGCAGATACCATGACTGGGAGGTGTGCAGGTCAGCACCAAGAGTGCACTAAGGCTATGCTGGGACTCCTGGGCACTGACCTCCACACCAACTGTGTGTGTAAGGGCAGCGCCTTCCAAGACATTAACCAGTGTCTTGCCTGGAAGCGTCTCCTCTGGGGCAACCCTTGTGTAGGTCAGTATTAACCATTGTTATTGACTGTTCTTGGAGAACATTAACTAAATCTTCACCTAGCTTCTTGTGTAGGTCAGTAATAACCATTATTATTGACTGTTCTTGGAGAACATTAACTAAATCTTCACCTAGCTTCATGTGCAGGTCGGTATAAATATTGCCACTTCACACTGTTAGTTCATGATCATCTGGAGCTTCTTGTGTAGGTCAGTGAAACGATCAATTTTAACACAAAATCTTCATGGAACACCAACTGTCTTCACCTTGCTCCATGTGAGTCGTCACTTAACCCTGCAACTTAACAATTCCTGTAAGACTATCCAGGTCGTCGTCTCTTCTATACGCGTATATACAATGAAATGCATTTGATTCTTGATGTCTGTACACTAAGAGTTTACTTTAACTTCGTCTTAGGAACTAGTATATTGTTAACTGGTGGTTTATGGGTGAAATACAACTTTAATGACCCTCCCGCAGATAATATTTTAAACTTAACAAATCAACCAAACCTAAATACCTTCTACAACACCGAGATCTGTGTAAAAGTATCGCAAAATGGGATATTTTTAGGCATTAAAATTTAATGAACCTTTAAACATTAATTCCTGAATTTGTCTATCACCTGAAACAACAAATGATGAGAAAAACACTTTGGTTGTGTGTTGTCACAACTTTTGTTATCTCTCATTCGGATCCAGTTTCTCTCAATAACACTGTTAATGACGAGCTCATGAAGATTTATACTGGAAGACGACCAGTAGATCAACTCGTGATACTGACAAGACTTTCTGCGTGGTGTTTCAGAAGAGCTGAAAATGTACAGCTCCGTATAAATGATTCACTCATTATAAGTCAAGATGAGAGGGAAAATTCTTAGGTGTACACCTTGAAAGCAATTTAAAACTCAGCATTCATATCCAACGCTTGTCCAGCAATGTCTTCAAAACAGTGGACATCCTTCTTCAAGCAACATTACCTTCTCTATTCTATCCTTACCTCACATATGGTATTTATGTCTGTGGGATCAACAACAGCAAATCACCTAAAGACAACAGTAACTTAACTAACAGCTACCGTACGAATGATCACTCAGGGAAGTGCTAGACGACACACACCTCTTCTCTTGAAATATTTAAACATTCTCAACATACTAAACTTTCACATTTAGCAAATAACAAACTGCACTGACCCAGACTCGTACCCTCGATACTTTAATACGCCACCCTCGTAGCCTGTCAAAATTCGAGACGTCCTAAACCACTTAACCATCAGTGTCACATATATCAGGAACCCAGTAACACTCAACGTGTCACTCCTGATGATGTCACATACATGGCTGTGACAAACTAACAACTAATTTCATTCTCTCGTTTGGAATACTAGTAACACAAGCAGTTTACATATTAATGCATCCACGAGCGAGTGATTTTTAGCAAATAATAAACTGTACTGTTGCTGTTATGACCAAAGTTTATGTAGAATGATCAGTCCTTTATTCCTGCCTCTTCTTTTTAACATTGATGTTTTAATCAAAATTTTAGCCTAGAATGATCAATGTCCTTAATAATTAAGTAGCTTATCCTACGCTGTATTGTAATATCATTCACAACTTGTCACTTACTAATTTTATTATTCAATGAACATTCTTGTAATTTGTAATAATGTTGGTAGAATTACCGACAATATGTTAGGTAAAAGGACACAAGTGCAAGTAATGTGACATTTTATTGTGGCTACGTTTCGCTCTCCAGGAGCTTTGTCGGCTTGACAAAACTCCTGGTGAGCGAAACGTTTCCAAAGTAAAATGTCACATTAGTTGCGCTTGTGTCTTTTTACCTAACTTCTTGTAACTTGTGTCTTGACTGATTGTAACTCTTGTCAATACCTTATACTACACCCGTCAGTAAACAGTGTGTAGTCTTAGTTCAAGTCTAAGTTTGCCTGAAACACTGTCCATGCTATCAAATTGTGTATGATTGTAAGTATTATTATTATTATTATTATTATTATTATTATTATTATTATTATTATTACAGTTGAGTCGCAGTTGACGTACCACCTGGCACAGCTGGGGATGGACGCTGATGTTCTGGTGTCTTCCTTCACTGATGATCACCACCAGCAGGTCGACCCCCACCATCAGGGTAAGACATCCCCCACCATTATCACCACCACCACCATCAGGGTAAGACATCCCCCACCATTATCACCACCACCACCATCAGGGTAAGACATCACCCACCATTATCACCACCACCACCATCAGGGTAAGACATCCCCCACCATTATCACCATCACCACCATCAGGGTAAGACATCACCCACCATTATCACCACCACCACCATCAGGGTAAGACATCACCCACCACTATCACCAGCACCACCACCACTAGGGTAAGACATCCCCCACCACTATCACCACCACCACCACCACCAGGGTAAGACATCCCCCACCATTATCACCACCACCACCATCAGGGTAAGACATCCCCCACCATTATCACCACCACCACCATCAGGGTAAGACATCCCCCACCATTATCACCACCACCACCATCAGGGTAAGACATCCCCCACCATTATCACCACCACCACCATCAGGGTAAGACATCCCCCACCATTATCACCACCACCACCATCAGGGTAAGACATCCCCCACCATTATCACCACCACCACCATCAGGGTAAGACACCCCCCACCACTATCACCACCACCAGGGTAAGACATCCCCACCACTATCACTACCACCACCACCAGGGTAAGACATCTCCCACTACTATCACCACCACCACCACCAGGGTAAGACATCCCCCGCCACTATCACCACCACCACCACCAGGGTAAGACATCCCCCACTACTATCACCACCACCACCACCAGGGTAAGACATCCTCCACCACTATCACCACTACCACCACCACCAAGGAAAGGCATTCCCCACCACTATCACCACTACCACCACCACCACCAGGGTAAGACATCCCCCACCACCACCACCACCACCACCGCCACCAACACCAGGTAAGACATCACCACCATCACCACCAGGGTAAGACATCCTCTAACATTATCACCACCACCACCACCACCACCACCACCAGGGAGAGACATCTCCACCACCATCACCACCACCACCACCAGGGTAAGACATCCCCCACCGCTATCACCACCACCACCGCCACCAGGTAAGAGATCATCACCATCACCACCAGGGTAAGACATCCCCTAGCATTATCACCACCAACACCACCACTATCACCAGGGAAAGACATTTCCACCACAACCACCAGAATAAGACATCACCACCATCACCACCAGGGTAAGACATCTCCTACCACTATCACCACTACCACCACCACCACCAACACCAGGGTAAGACATCTCCACCATCACCACCAGGGTAAGACATCCCTACCACTATCACCACTACCACCACCACCACCACCACCACCAGGGTAAGACATCCCCCACCACTATCACCACCACCACCACCAACACCAGGGTAAGACATCTCCACCACCACCACCACCACCACCACCACCACCACCACCACCACCACCAGGGTAAGACATCCCCCACCACTATCACCACCAGGGTAAGACATCCCCACCACCATCACCACCAGGGTAAGATATCTCCACCACCATCACCACCACCACCACCACCACCACCACCACCACCACCACCACCACCACCACCACCACCACCACCACCACCACCACAGGGTAAGACATCCCCACCACCATCACCACCAGGGTAAGACATCCCCCACCACTATCACCACCAGGGTAAGACATCCCCCACCACTATCACCACCAGGGTAAGACATCCCCACCACCATCACCACCAGGGTAAAACATTCCTCCCCACTATCACCACCACCACCACCAGGGTAAGACATCCTCCACCACCATCACCACCAGGGTAAGACATCCTCCACCACCATCACCACCAGGGTAAGACATCCTCCACCACCATCACCACCAGGGTAAGACATCCTCCACCACCACCATCACCAGGGTAAGACATCCCCCATCATTATCACCACCACCACCAAGGTAAGACATCTCCTCCACCAGGGTAAGACATCTCCACCACCAGGGTAAAACATCTCCACCACCAGGGTAAAACATCTCCACCACCAGGGTAAAACATCTCCACCACCAGGGTAAAACATCTCCACCACCAGGGTAAAACATCTCCACCACCAGGGTAAAACATCTCCATCACCAGGGTAAAACATCTCCATCACCAGGGTAAAACATCTCCACCACCAGGGTAAAACATCTCCATCACCAGGGTAAAACATCTCCACCACCAGGGTAAAACATCTCCACCACCAGGGTAAAACATCTCCATCACCAGGGTAAAACATCTCCACCACCAGGGTAAAACATCTCCATCACCAGGATAAAACATCTCCACCACCAGGGTAAAACATCTCCATCACCAGGGTAAAACATCTCCATCACCAGGGTAAAACATCTCCATCACCAGGGTAAAACATCTCCATCACCAGGGTAAAACATCTCCATCACCAGGGTAAAACATCTCCACCACCAGGGTAAAACATCTCCACCACCAGGGTAAAACATCTCCACCACCAGGGTAAACATCTCCATCACCAGGGTAAAACATCTCCATCACCAGGGTAAAACATCTCCACCACCAGGGTAAAACATCTCCACCACCAGGGTAAAACATCTCCACCACCAGGGTAAAACATCTCCACCACCAGGGTAAAACATCTCCACCACCAGGGTAAGACATCTCCACCACCAGGGTTAAAACATTCCACCCAGGGTAAAACATCTCCATCGCCACCAGGGTAAAACATCTCCATCGCCACCAGGGTAAAACATCTCCATCGCCACCAGGGAAAGACATCCCCCACCACTATCACCACCACCACCAACACCAGGGTAAGACATCTCCACCCCCATGGTAAGACATCTCCACCACCACCAGGGTAGGACATCCCCACCACCAGGGTAAGATACCTCCACCACCAGGGTAAGACATCTCCACCACCAGGGTAAGACATCTCCATCACCAGGTAAGACATCTCCACTACCAGTGTAAGACATTACCACCATCATTAGGGTAAGACATCACCATCGCCACCACCAGGGTAAGACTTCTCCACCACTACCACCAGGGTAAAACATCTCCTCCACCAGGGTAAGACATCTCCACCACCACCACCACCACCACCACCACCACCACCACCACCACCACCACCACCACCACCAGGGTAAGACATCCCCACCACCATCACCACCAGGGTAAGACATCCCCCACCACTATCACCACCAGGGTAAGACATCCCCCACCACTATCACCACCAGGGTAAGACATCCCCCACCACCATCACCACCAGGGTAAAACATTCCTCCCCACTATCACCACCACCACCACCAGGGTAAGACATCCTCCACCACCATCACCACCAGGGTAAGACATCCTCCACCACCATCACCACCAGGGTAAGACATCCTCCACCACCACCATCACCAGGGTAAGACATCCTCCACCACCACCATCACCAGGGTAAAACATTCCTCCCCACTATCACCACCACCACCACCAGGGTAAGACATCCTCCACCACCATCACCACCAGGGTAAGACATCCTCCACCACCATCACCACCAGGGTAAGACATCCTCCACCACCATCACCACCAGGGTAAGACATCCTCCACCACCACCATCACCAGGGTAAGACATCCTCCACCACCACCATCACCAGGGTAAAACATTCCTCCCACTATCACCACCACCACCACCAGGGTTTAAAACATCCTCCACCACCATCACCACCAGGGTAAGACATCCTCCACCACCATCACCACCAGGGTAAGACATCCTCCACCACCATCACCACCAGGGTAAGACATCCTCCACCACCACCATCACCAGGGTAAGACATCCCCCATCATTATCACCACCACCACCAAGGTAAGACATCTCCTCCACCAGGGTAAGACATCTCCACCACCAGGGTAAAACATCTCCACCACCAGGGTAAAACATCTCCACCACCAGGGTTTAAAACATCTCCACCACCAGGGTAAAACATCTCCACCACAAGGGTAAAACATCTCCACCACCAGGGTAAAACATCTCCACCACCAGGGTAAACATCTCCACCACCAGGGTAAAACATCTCCACCACCAGGGTAAAACATCTCCACCACCAGGGTAAAACATCTCCACCACCAGGGTAAAACATCTCCACCACCAGGGTAAAACATCTCCACCACCAGGGTAAACATCTCCACCACCAGGGTAAAACATCTCCATCACCAGGGTAAAACATCTCCACCACCAGGGTAAAACATCTCCACCACCAGGGTAAAACATCTCCACCACCAGGGTAAAACATCTCCATCACCAGGGTAAAACATCTCCACCACCAGGGTAAAACATCTCCATCACCAGGGTAAAACATCTCCATCACCAGGGTAAAACATCTCCATCACCAGGGTAAAACATCTCCACCACCAGGGTAAAACATCTCCATCACCAGGGTTTAAAACATCTCCATCACCAGGGTAAAACATCTCCACCACCAGGGTAAAAACATCTCCACCACCAGGGTAAAACATCTCCATCACAGGGTAAAACATCTCCATCACCAGGGTAAAACATCTCCATCACCAGGGTAAAACATCTCCACCACCAGGGTAAAACATCTCCATCACCAGGGTAAAACATCTCCATCACCAGGGTAAAACATCTCCATCACCAGGGTAAAACATCTCCACCACCAGGGTAAAACATCTCCATCACCAGGGTTAAAACATCTCCACCACCAGGGTAAAACATCTCCACCAAAAGGGTAAAACATCTCCATCACCAGGGTAAAACATCTCCACCACCAGGGTAAAACATCTCCATCACCAGGATAAAACTTCTCCACCACCAGGGTAAAACATCTCCATCACCAGGGTAAAACATCTCCATCACCAGGGTAAAACATCTCCATCACCAGGGTTAAAAACATCTCCATCACCAGGGTAAACATCTCCATCACCAGGGTAAAACATCTCCACCACCAGGGTAAAACATCTCCACCACCAGGGTAAAACATCTCCACCACCAGGGTAAAACATCTCCATCACCAGGGTAAAACATCTCCAT